CAGCCTTAAAAGCCGCTCCCAAGTCCTTCTCGTCCTTCTTCACCCTCTCCAGCTCCTCTTCGATGGTAGTGGCCCTGGCAATGACCTGCTCGAGCATCTCTTTATTCGTGATGCACTCTTGGAGATCACACTCGGCCACGCGCTCGACCTTCTTCCTCTCCCACTTCAGCTTGAAGCCCTCGATCACCTCCATGAACCTCCGTGATATCTCCTTCCGGGCCTCACGGCTGGCTTGGCGAATAGCATCCTCACGCTCGCTGATCAATCGGAGGTTCTCCTCCTTCGCATCTGAAGCCTCGTGGAGAGCTTGCACCGCCTCAGCATGGGCTTCGAAGATCTGGTTGGTGGCAACCTTGAACTTCTCGCCCTTGTCGACCAGCTCATTCTCGAGCTCGGTGATGTGAGCCTGCTGACCTCGGAACTGTTTGAGGAGTTTAGTCTGGCGAGCGACCTGCGTATTTGCGGCCTTAAGGTCGGACTTTAGCTTGCTGACTACCTTCCCCATTTCCTCGATCTCCTCCGGATGGGGGACATCCCACAGCCTTTGCTTAAGTCAAGCATAAAGTCGGTTCCCAGCCTTCGCAGCCTGCGAGCATCGAGGACCAAAGCGTTAAGACAAATAACACTTAACCAAAAAAAATAATACAAAGCAAAAAGGTACATCGTTCATATTTTCCTGGGCCATCGCCATCTCCACATAGAGCCCCCTGCTCTCTCTCGGTCATTTTCTTGAGAGCTGGAAGTTGGCACCCAGCAGGCTTGAAGTGACGCCACATGGCCGCCATGCCCTCAGAGTCATCCGCGATCGGATGATCCTTGGTGTGCTCAAACTTCCAATAGAAAGGCCGACAACCCGTCGAGCCACCACTCCCGTTAGATGCCGATGGGCGCGGCTCTGCAGCGCGACCTCCCTCGTCGTCTCTCGGCCTCTTAGAGGGAGGCTGGGAAGAATACTCGGGCTCCTGGTCATCAGCGGGCTGCTGGGTCTTGCCTGAGCTAACGGAGATCGCCCCCACCAATCTGGGAGGGGGGTCGGGCTGAGGGTTCATCATCTGCTCAACCCCCTCATCACTGAGGTGAGGTACGGAAGCAGCAGCCGAGGCAAGCGCGGCCTCGAGGGCCTCCTTCACACTCCCGTAGCCTACTCTGGAGCTGCTGGGACCAGCCGGGGCTTTCCCGGATCTTTGGCGGAAGGTCGGTTTGCGAGACATTGTAGAGCTTGAGCTTGCTGAACTGGAAGCCGGGAGAGAGCGGAGAGGAAGAACTCCAGCTGCCAGCAAAACAAACCGACACGCATCATTTCATCATGATATGGCAAACTAAGGTCGTAGCATCAGCTCAACGGAAAAACTTACCAGGAGCGAAAACCGTAGCCGGAACGGGTGAAGTGAGAACTCGTCGAACTCGTTCTCGCGTGAACGTATTCCAGATGACTTCTCCGCGCCTAAATAACCCTAACTTGTGCTCGACGTCAGGATCCCTTGGTGCCTTGGATAGCTGACCTGATAGAAAAAAACAAACTAGGGTCAGAAAGCCGGCCAAGTCAAACAAAACAAGTAAAGATAGCAAACGTATAAAGCCTAGCTAGACAACTGCTGCTCGGAAATTCATCGGCAGTTTAGAGAAGTCGAAATCGTCGATCGACGCCTCGTTGATCCGGAACTTAAAGGCCGTCTTCTCACACCCGAAGTCTTTCTCCGGACTCTCCTCAATAAGTCGTCGGTTCGATCTCGGGGATGCATAAAAAGTCCCGGGATGGCAGGCGTTGTACTTAACGGAGAATAATGCTTGCAAATCGGAATAGCGGAAGCTAACGGCCTCCTCCCGCGCCCGCACGACGCACCCAATGATGGCCCGAACCAGGTTTGGGCATATCTGTGGGATGGCCATCCGCAAGTCAGCGAGCACCTCCAAGACGAACCGAGGAATCGGGAAAAACAACCCGTAGTCTCGGAAGTACGTCGCGTATGCGTAGCAGAAACCCGGCCCGACGTTCGATGGGGTCTCTGTTGGCGTCAGAACCGCTAGCTCTCCGTTATCGGAAATCTCACATTCGTCAGAACTGCCAGCTCTACGTTATCAAAAATCTCGCATTCCCGGCGAAGGTCATCCAAAACCTTCTGATCGCTGATTTTCGACGGACCCGGGGCCACCGAGTCCTTTGAAGCACCTTCGATTTTCACAATTTATGACATCGGGAAGAAGCTCTCGAAACAGCAAGAGCACGCAAAAATTCGAAAAGATTTCTACTCGATTTCTAAAAGAGAAACGGCGAATGGAAGTTGCAGAAAATAAAAGAAAGAAGAGAAAAGAAGTTACCTTTAATCGACGAACTGATGCGGTTAAAGAAGGAGTGGAGAAGGTGGACTTTATATCTGAGTAATTATTGCCCACCTCAGAGATCACGGAGAATCTCGCCACGCGCAAATCTCGACCGTTCGATCTCCCGATCTCAACCGTCGAATATTCGACCTCGACGATACGATGTGCTGTATAGCTCGATCGATTGAGGCCATTAGATCGACTTTTTCTCTCAACATCTGGACCTTCCACATCATCAAAATTTAATGCAAATCTTCTCGAGGGATGCACCTTGCCCCGGGAAGCTCGACCGCCGAAACAGAAAAGTAAATGACAATATTTACTCTGAATCCCGACCGTCCACCTGTACGAGATAATAACAGATTTATCTCAACATGCCAAGTTACAGTCTCGAGGTCGATTCTCGACCACACGATCGACAAACTGTTCACCTTTCCAAGATCTGAACCGTCGATCTCGAATGATTATCTGACTCCAAGACGTTAGGATAATCAAACACAATATCTTTCAAAAGTCACATCTTGCCGCCCATTAAAGCTCGAGCTCACTCTCGTTAATGGGCTGGTGGGAAATTGTTATAGCAGGATTTGACACCCTAAATCCGGCCCACTCAAACCCAACATGCAGATCCAAACTAAGCCAAATTGACTGGGTTTTGACTCTACGGCCCAGGCTCATTCAGCTCTCAACGATCCAATCTTGAACAACAAGACGTTCCATTCGATGAGGTCGAGCTCCAGCTCGATCTAATCCCGAAAAACAAGGAAGGATCCGAGCCAAGTCACAGCATATTCTCGCTAGTTCAAACAAGTCCAAAGATCGCGGAGAAAGTCGCTGCACGTGGCGAGATTTCCGGCTGAAGCTGCTGCACGTGGCCGAGATACGCGCTGGAGTTCGGAGCTTGGCGAAGTGAGCTATATAAAGGAAGGGAACGGCTTAGTTTAAGGGACTTCTCTAGGGCTTGATCTTTTCACCATTTTCTACCTGAAAACTATGTAACTGCTCCCAAAGCTTTTTTCAGTTCATTTTTTTTATCAAAATCTTTGTAACCGTTTCATTCAACCGATTAATATCAAAGTCATTATTTCAGTTAGTGCTAGCTTATATTGTCAATCTGTTCGAGAGAATCTAGTCATTAATCCTCTAAACTTATTTCCTTACAAAAACACATAAATTTCTGAGTGTGGATTTCTGTATCCACAGTAATGGAAATGAAATTATGTATTAAACATGATACATAATAGTTTTAAACATTATACATAATATATTATATTAAGAAAATAATCTAAAACAAAAGCTAAAACATAATTATTAAATAGTAAAGTTGTGAAATTTTAAAAACTTTCTTTCATCATCAATTTCATTAACTTTATTTACTTACTAGGGGTTGACCCGCGCGTAGCGCGGATTTATACATTATTTTTTTATATATCTATAAGATATTAATTGTTATGGTTTAATTTCATAATATGTATAATCTTTCTAATATTGTAGTCGTACATCTTTCCATGTATGTCCATGTTGCTTTCGTGGTTTCAATTTTTTTTTCTGTTTTTCATTTTGTTCTTCATTATGATTGTTATGTTAATTCTCCATAAAGATGTATATGGCTGTTTTTAAATTCATTTTTAGTAATTATTTTTAAATAAATAGTATTGTTTTTTAAGTTTTTGTCGTATTTTTGTTTAGCGGACAATATTCGGTTTTATATGGGTTCTTAATATTTTTTAAACTCTAATTTATTAACTTTATTATTCTTCCATTTACATTTTTTTTAATTGGTTTAAATTTGAATCTTCTAAGTTTTAATACATGTGTTTTCTATATGTGAAAACGGTGAAGGTCTATAAGGCCCATATTTGGTAACCCAGAAGTCCAATTAGTGAACCATGTTTTTTGGTGGCGGCTGACTGGCTGTCCTGTACAATGGGTTTTTCTCTGATGGCCGTTCCCAGATCGTGAAACATCAATCTATTTTCTGAGAAATTATTCTTCGATTTTCTCTACTCGAATTTTTTCTCTCTGTCCTACTCTCCCCTCTGTTAATTATATATTTATTATGTTTTTATCAAGTGGCGGACCTTTCTCACTTGCTACAGTGTCTGTGGATTGTGTTTGATTTATTTCATCTCTCCCATTTTGTAATTATTTCTGTGAAGTTGATTTATAATCATTCAGTCGCTCATGCTACCAACTACAGATTCGGAGGAGAGTTGTGAACACCTCAATTGTTTCCGTCGGCTCAAAAGTTAATCCGTTGCCCTTTTGATTGCTTTCATCCTTTGCGCTCTCTGCTCGGAAGGTGATATATCTTTCTATCGGGTGTTTATGTTTCTTTACTCTAATTTAATGATGCAGAAGTTGATGATTGTTAAACGGTTATGTCTACAGAATTGCATTGGTTATGTATTAATTGTGTTAGGTTGATTGGTGTATCCTTCTGTGAAATGTATCATATATCTCTAGTGTTTCAATTCTTTGATTTTAAGTGTCTGTTATCTTGAATTGTATGTTATTTGTTACTTTGTAGAGTGATCACTTGTTCGCAGATGTCTCTGTGTGAAGTTGATATTTGGTGATGTGTATTTTGAAGAGTGGTCCAAAAGACTGTAATTATAAATAGTTTGAAAAAAAACTTAAGCTTGGGTGATTGTGTGATTGCATAAATTGGTAGATGGCTAAATGACAAACACAAACTTAACGATCTGTTTGTAATAGTAGCAATGATGGCATCTGTTTTCGAGGTCGTTGAGGTTGCACATAGTTGTTGGCTTCATAACCCTTATTGTTTCTTGGTAAGCAGGTAGACGCAAGACTCTGACTCCATGCAATGAATTCTTGATGTTTCTCCAGCATCTGTCACCTCTGGTTTTGCTGTGTTGCCACCCTAATTGGTCCAAGTAGGCTTTTCCTTGCTCCATTTCGCCCCTAGATAACAATATAATCCCATATAGGTACATACCTTCGCTGTAGGATCCTCGTGCTGCTAATTTTAGATGTTGGAGTCCGGTGATTGTGTTGTTTTTGTGGAAGTACTCTAGTATTCCTTTGATGTAGTGAGCTTCGATGTTTCCGTTGGTAAGTGTCTTCTCCATTAGGTCTTTGTATCTGTACCTTTTTGCCAAAGGATGGAACACCAGTCGTAGGTTAAGAGCTTTGTAAACTCCTTTGTCTTTTGCTGCCTTTGCCAATGCTTTTGACGCTTCCATAACATGGCGAAGTTGTCTCCGAGATGAGCTTCCAACTCGGGCTAATATTTCTCCGACTATGTCCTTAGGGAGATCTCTGAGTGTTATTGTAGTGTTTTTATCTGCCATTTTTGTTTCTTTTGTTGTTTATATTCTGCAGGTATTCCAGTTATTAGTAGAGTTCTTCAGTGAATAGGGGACAACTAATTGTATGATAAGCAAATGAATACCTGGGAGGTCCTTGTTGGTGTTGGCTAAAGCAAGAAGTTCTTCGTGGGAACGAAACCGGAATAACTGTTTCGGAATCTGGTAGAAGGAATCGTCGACGGGAACCATAGTAGTGGTGTGAGTGAAACGTATGGATTTGTCAAAATCAGTGAGATGAAATCTCGGAGTGCTCTTTGTGACATCGAAGCCACTGATAACATAGATGATCCCTTTATTTAGTAGTGCTTCGTACTTGGGAAGGTGTTGTGCGGGTATAGTACCTTGCATCAATGTAGACTAAATGGGAGAGTTAAATTAGTAAGTAAAAAACGGAGAGAAGATGTATTGTGGTGGAAAAATGTTGTTTGCCAGATTAACGATTTACCTTCTCGTCAAGAAGAAAGAAGTCGACTCCCATGAGCTCTCAGTTTTTTTTAACATTTCGAGCCTCCCAGAAACGTAGGAGCCTACCGAGAACACGTTGGACCTCACGGCCTGATTTGAGACCAGAGAATTGGAGATAGACACCTGCCATCAGATTGTTGTTCAAAGGATATGTGATTTAGAGTGTGAAAAAATGATGAGGATATAGTATGGTATTTATATGTGGGGAGATCGGCTAGAGAATTAAATGGAGGAATTGAGTAGTGGGCAGTGGAATTGAAGAGGGTAAAGTAATACCTTTGTAAATTAGGGGACATCGTGGTGATCCGTTATGAATTTAGAGTAGGCGTTACGGATTGTTGTGGTATCTTTGGAGAAGATGAGAAGCCACGGCCGCATATGAAGTCATTAGCGTGGAGGAGTGGGAGTTGCAGGTTTTTTTGGAGATGACAAGAGCCATATTTTTTATGTTGGGCTAGGGTTTTGTATTGGGCTAGAGCAATAGTTGCCAAATAACAGATCGGATCCTTATTCAATAGTGTCTTGAAAGGTATGTAAAGTATTAACAACACTTTGGTGACAATTCTGGCCCGTATACTTTAGGCCCATTATGAAATGGGCTTTTCGAATCTGAAACCCGAATTGAAAAACTTGTTTGACTATAAAACCAAAGTTAAATTTGGTAAAAAATGAAATCGAATGGAAAATAAGCAAAAAATAAAAGTATAAAATGCGGAAGTTTAATAGTATATTTTTGTTGATTGTTATTAAACTAACAAATCCAATTTGAACCTAAACAGAATTTCATCGGCTATTGAATATATGTAATAAGTAGTAATATTAATACACTTTATATAAAGTCATAAAGTTAAAAGTTTCTTAGATTATTTATAGTATTATATTATTATTAATATCAATCGAATAATAATATTACAATGCATATTATACAGCTAAGCGTTTATATACCATCGGCGGCCCATATAGATATATATAAATTAAATAAGCCCATATAGTAAAAACATGTAAGGGGGATTTGAGAGAAACCATGGGTTTGGGCTACATATATGTCACAATCTATATCTATAAATTTAAATGGTGAGGTGGCATCTGATTAGGATGCTGAGATGGCTGCATGAGAAGAGAGAAAATGTTACTTTATAGATATAGAGTCATAAAGTTAAAAGTTTCTTAGATTATTTATAGTATTATATTATTATTAATATCAATCGAATAATAATATTACAATGCATATTATACAGCTAAGCGTTTATATACCATCGGCGGCCCATATAGATATATATAAATTAAATAAGCCCATATAGTAAAAAAATATAAGGTGGATTTGAGAGGAACCATGGATTTGGGCTACATATATGTCACAATCTATATCTATAAATTTAAATGGTGAGGTGGCATCTGATTAGGATGTTGAGGTGGCTGCATGAGAAGAGAGAAAATGTTACTTTATAGATATAGATTTATTAATAATTTTCATTGGAAAATATCAATCTTCTTATATAAACTAAAAATTAACCTGCGCGTTACACGAAGTTATTTATAAATTAAAATTTTAAATTTATATATTTATATTATTATTACGTTTATTTATTCTTTTATTTTGTATAATTTTATATTTGCTTTTCTTTTTTTATATTAAAAATATTACTTTTGTTTTTTATTATCTTTGCCTAACTTGAAGAGACATTGGAATTTTAGAGAAAATTCAACATTCCTTAGTAGACGTACACAAACATAGTCGACATGAAGCGAACTGTCACCATTTAAATCATTCTCATAATGATAAGAATTCTACCGTTGAAGAAGCCACAACCGTGCATTGAAAGACAACAATGTTCTCTTTAACACCAACTGCATTGATTTCTTTGCCTGAAACATGAATTGAACTTTCTGATTCTCAATGTTACGACCCACAATCTCTTCACCAACACCCCACAATCGAGGAAGCACTGACATCAACGTAGGAATTTTATCTTCGATCCAGAGAGAGATATCTTGTATTTTTCTCGTCAGTTTCTCTGCCATTAATAATAGAAAAATTGGAAAAGGGATTTGTTCACTCCGATACTCACAAAGGAAACAGAGACAGACACATGAGATATATATAGCCCTCGGAGATCGATTGGAAGACACAATCAGTTAAGCCATTAATCTTTCCTGACATAAACGCTGGTAGCCGGCGAAATTCACTCTCCGGAAAGAGACATATACATAGAAGAAGGAAAATGTACGATTGCAACAACAATCGTATTGTTTCCTCTCTTAAATCACGACCAAAATATTAATTTTGCTTTAAACGATTGTAGAAATTGAGATGAATTGTTGTATAAGAAAAAAGAAAAAGAAAGAGCCGCCGACGATCGCCGTCGGCCCTATAAACAAACAATGAATAAAAAAGTTAAGGATGAGTTTCGACAATCGCCCCAGTTGAGAGACAAGTTTTTTTTTGAGAAAAAAAAACCATTACTATTATGTTTAAATTTTAATAATTTTTTATTCTATTTTTTAATATTAAATGTTTTTTAGTTTTTTATTATCTTAAAATATATAAATCTATTGTGAAGTTGTTTTTCTAAATAGAAATTATAATGTATTAATTGTTAAAAACTCACTTTCATACTTATACGTTATCGAATATATCTATATCTACTTACTGAATATTTTTATTTAAATAAAATAAATATTTTGATTCGTTTAGTTAAAATTAAATAAATCTCATTTCTAAATAAAAAATTATAGTTTACATCATATATGAATAAATTCTCATTATATAGCAAGAATTCGAAATTATAAATAAAACAATAAAATAAACAGATAGAAAAATAAATTATAAGTATCTTCTTAGCTAACGTTTTATAATAATACTGTATATATAAATAAAAAGTAGAAGTATAAGTAAAAATGAATCTTTACGACTTTGGTTTTATGTAAAACTCTTAGGTTATATTTTTGGTTTAAAGCATCTCCAACCCACATTTATTTAAAATCTTCTAATTTAGAGGAAGATGAAAGATTATTATTTTTTTCCTCCAATTATAGAGGAAAAAATAATATTATTGTTTTTTCTGTAATAAAGAAATAAGTTGAAAAGAAGTCTACTTATATTTTAGAGGAAAAATAGAAAAATACATTGAAGATGATCTTAATTAATATATTATTAAATGTTAAGAGAAAAAAAATATGAGTTAAAGAAGACAAAAAAAAAAGATTAATTTTTATCGATTTTAGGTTTTATTTGAAATACTGAAAAATATTATCTTATACATACTAATTTTTTCATGCATATATTTTTTCTAACATATTAATACCAACATTATTTCATGAATCAAGTTTTGTATATGTTTTAATCCATTATATTTTATATTAACAAATATATTAAAGTTAGGAATAGATCAATTCATAATTTTTAATAACAATCAAATATTAGATATATTACTTTACATCCTATATCATACCCATTATTCGGGAGCAAATTTTGAGATGCCACGTAGAGAGATCTGTTTGGTGATCGTGTACTGCGGGGGAGATTCGAACTCTGGTTGGGATAGGCTAGCCTGCAAAGTCAAGAAAGAAGAAAGAGATATTGGGTAACGGGAAAGGGGTTGCCCTTCCGGTTACGCTCCGACGCTCTAGTCAGAAAGGAAAACGTGAGTGGACGAAGTGTATTGAGTTTACCGGAAGGACTGAGTATGGGACGCTTTACCGGTTCGAAAGGATCCCGATAAGGCTTTTAAGGTAGTGATCTGTTATTGAAAATGAAGCTAGAAGATGAAGTTATCGTTCTAGATGTCTCCTCCTCCCTGCTGTTGAGAGGAGTGGGTTTTTATAGGAAATACCTGGTTCCGGATAGCTCCCGGGTTCGGACCTCCAGGCTCCCCGGGCTGGGTACTAACTTCCGTCCTTTTTCATTATTATCACCATCCCCAGACTCTTCCATGCGTGTGGTCAGAGGAAATGGGTTGCCGACCTGCCCTGCCTTTTCATAGCTACCATCATTGCGGTCCTCTTTGGTAGGTGCGGCGCATTTAATGCATCTCGGATTTCTGCGGCGTCCGTTGCCCACGCATTAGGCCCTCGTAGGCCGTGCATATGTTTTGCGGCCCAACAGTTGTCCCCGACTTATGGAGCTCGCTTGGGGAGGTTCGGAAGTCCGCCCTGCACACGAATCAAAATACAGAGGGTCATTATGCTCTTATCTCCTTTGTCTCCCAGCCACGGGTTGGGCCCCATCATACTGACGTTGACTTCCACGAGGATGGATTCTGGAAAGGTCGTTCCCTGGCGGTGTTCCTAGGAGGGCGTGTCCCTGGAGGCCGGTCTTGGAAAGACCGTTATTCCTGGAGGATGTGCCCCTGGAGGCCGGTCTCGGAAAGACTGTTATCCTCGGAGGGCGTGCCCCTAGAGGCCGATCTCGGAAAGATTGTTATCCCCGGAGGGAGTTCCCCGAAGGGCGTGCCCCTGGAGCTGATCTTGGAAAGACCTTTATCCTCGGAAGGAGTTCCCCGGAGAGTGTGCCCCTAGAGGCTGATCTCGGAAAGACCGTTATCCTCGGAGGGAGTTCCCCGGAGAGCGTGCCCCTAGAGGCCGATCTCGGAAAGATCGTTATCCCCGGAGGGTGTGCCCCTGGAGGTTTATTTTGTTTCAAAGAAAAGATCTCTATTGAACCAAATTCTGTTCCTGCTTTTCTTCTAAGTGTTGTGGAATCAACCTTGAAGATTTGTATAGAATCTCCTATACTCTTGCGTGGATTAGCCCTTGAGTTAGAAGAGTCTATCCTTTGGAGTTTGTGGTCATCAAGCTCAACCAACTTTCAATTATTCAAGTCTTCCCTCCACCCTTTTAAGCTAGAAGCAACGATTCTAGGAAGCATTACTTGAACCCCATTTCAAGTCTTGTATCACAGGTTGAGTTTCACGTCGTACTCGCAGAGTGTCTTAAAGCAGTTGTTCAGGTGTTATGCTGGTCTCGGCTGAGAGACTTGACAATTATGTCGTCGATGTAGATCTCCATTGTCTT